CTATATACCACAACACGCACTTTCACGTAGCGTTTGTTCCTCTGTAAATAACAAACTTTTGATTACAGCACATTCGTGTATTTTACAGATTAGGATAAGGCAAATTATTAACTGGATGTGGAGTGATCTCTTACTCAGATAAAGCTACGTTGACAAAATTTCAATCAGCTTAATGGAAAGGTTGAGCTCTAGTTGCTGATTAAACTGGTCACCTCAAGTTTATAGAGCATTAATTATTCTACAAATTAATTGTCAAAAGTTTTGAAATCACTTATAATACATTACTAACCAATAATAAAATATTTGTTTCTAGTGTGTCTTTTGCACTAAAAAAATGAACTTGTTATTAATCCCAGATTTCATACTGATAATGACTAGATTATTTAATTATAGTATTTTGGCACTTTTGTATAAAGTTAAAATCATAAATAATATTCAACTTTAAACTGGTACACAATTAAAAACATTTTATTTAAGCCTATCTATGGCCTTCAAAAAGTTGACGACTCTACATATTTCGACGTTACAATGGTAGACCGATTTATTATTATTTGAAACGTAACGTTGGTCAAAACCTGTGGACGTGCTACGAACAGTAGTAATGAATAAAAGTACTAATTCTGTTTATTATAAAGTATGACAACATCTGGAAAATGTAAGTCAAACATGTGAAAACGTATGGATCAAACGTACGTTTGCTTTTTCGTAGAGTACTAATAAAAACGAAATTATACACGGGTAGCTTGTCCTATAATTGAGACATCATACGATCTGCCGATAGCCTAACAAATTAACTAGCACACGGCCAATGTGTCCAAATGAGCTCAGTATTTGGAACTTTAAGGTCAATAGCTTGTATAGACTTAAGCCTTATACAACATCCCAAATAATATACAAGGTGTCCAGAAATTAAACAGATCTTCGAAACACAAACAATTTTGTTGACATAGAGTTTCAATTTTTTTAGAGCGTTTGTTTTTATGTCAAGATTTTAAGTGTCCTTTTCTTTCCTGACACGGCTCTAAGGTTCAGCTGTTAATGGATCTTTTTTAGTTGAAAATTTTGCCATATTCGTAGCAAAGTCAGTAAAGACGTGTCGTTACCAGGAGATGCATCTGTGTACAAGTAAACAAAAACTTTTCAAAAAATGAAATAAATGTAGTGATGGATAATATCAATCCTTCTAAAACAAGATAGTAGGGATGTCATTGTAGTAGAATGTTAACAAACAAAAACAGGATAAATTAAACTTAATTGTGATCGAATAGTAATATGTATATATTAGTATATGTTAATTCTTGCGTGAGCTATAATGTAGGGATGATGCAAATTCCATTCCTGCTATCTTGTTTGTATTATTTTTACGTGGTTGATATTAGCCATCCCTACATTTATTTCTTTTTTTAAAGTTTTTCTTTTTTTATGCAGTGTTTCAATAGACATAGGAAAGTTGTATTTACCACCAAGTTCTAAATACAACGAGACTCCAACTGTAATATTTATTGTATATCTATTATTGGCTGGTAATTCCTGTTGCACTCTGTACTTAAGTTTCTTGAAGGAACACCAAATTTCTGTAAGAAAGCAAACTTCAAGGGGTAATGATAACATTGTTTACACTAAAATTCAGATTTTTTTATAAGTATTACTAGTTAATGATACTTATAAAAGCGTATACTCCGTTTGAAACTATGTCACCTCAGTGAAATTGGCTGACACCATTGCTTTGTTTTGAGCTATCGTGTAATAATAAAAAAGAAGAAATAAGATATTCAAACTTTTTGCTATATTTCCAGACGTTGCGACTAAGTCATTACAGATATTTTATAAAAGGAAACACTGTATTGTAAAGTTCTGATGACCCATTGAGGAGATATTTAAAATATCAAATCAATGAACAATCCGAACCATCCCTACATAAGTAGTGCTACCGCCTGCCTGATAACCAAGAGTTTAATATTCACTCCACCTACGAAGAGAGCCATCTGTCAGTGGCAAGTTTGTGGGCTTATGAGGTTGTAGTGGTCAGAAAACAAACAACTTATTGCGTAGATTTTTATTTAACAACAAACAATCAGATAAAATTCTACTCAGAAGTCGTTGGTTATATAAAAAATGGTTCAAGGATTTCTTTGACGTCACTTTGACCTGATTCTCTTTGGTACAGAAGTTTTTTGTTGTTTTTTTCTGCATAGAACGTCCTTCTACGTTTGAAGGTTGCTCTTCTAGTGTATCGGTAACATGCCTTGCTCTTTGCACAATACGGTTACCTCCGAACTTCTTGATGTTCAAAAACTATAACTTATATTTACCTAATTAACTAAGCCTTGTGCAGTTTTCTTGAAACATATTAAGTTGTGTTCTATGATGTCAAACTTTGACCTTTTATTTACAGCTACATATTACAGTTCAAATAGCATACCAGACTTTGTAGCACATTGTAAAAACATTTCTCAATCAAATGGCTACATTGAATTTTTATGTAAAAAATACTGAAAAAACGAAAATAGTTTTCGAGGCTGAAACGCTACTTTCAGATGGGAACGAAGATAGTGACGCAAAAATTAAAACTAGAACTATAAAAATTGGAACACTAGAGATAAGATTTTATCGTTATAAGGTGAGTAAAACCAATACATAAGTATTAAAAAAAGCTAGTAAAATCAATATGTATGAATAAAGAACAAGCATGTAAAATACAAATGTACTTCTCACATCAACACATGAAAGCAAAAGGTCTTCAACTGGTACAAAAGAGAAAAGTAATTCATAGATAAGAATCAGTTGGAATGAAATAAAACTTGGAAACATCCAAACACACATAGATACATATAAATATCTTGAAAACTGGTAGTTTCGTAGTTCTGGAATAAAGAACGTGTAGTTTACCATGAATTCTTTCACAAGTCAGTAGATAGATTGATGGGCTATCTGCACTAGCCGTCCTTAATTTAGTAGTGAAACACTAGAGGGAAGGCACCTAGTAAACACCCCCCACTGCATACTCCTGGGCTACTCTTTTGCCAACGAATAGTAGGATTGCCCATGACATTATAACGCCCCATCCGCTGAAAGATTGAGTATGTTTGTTGGTACGGGGAATCGATAGGGAGCGCCCTAACCACTTGACCATTCTAGGCCTAGATAGATTAGTCTTACTACTTATAATTTTATAAATGTGAACCTTTCCATTATGTATGCCATTTTAGTGAAAAACATAAATTAGTCGCTAAAGAGATAACAATATATATTGCTACAGATCTTTAATTAAACTGTACACAATATTAATATTGCGTTTGTCTTTGAAAGTATGTTTTTATGTTGGTTGATCTTTCATATTCAAACTGAAAAATAACTTTTAAATTAGATATTTCTCAAATACTAAATTGTTCACACACACGAAAATATACGTATTGAGCATTCGTATCATGAGAGTCAAAAATGTGAATAGCGTGTAAGATATTTTTCTAACAGAATAGTTGTGTACATGGGATGAGAGTAGCCCAATGGTTGGCGTTCCAGACTGACGACATGCGAGCCGTGCGTTTGAGTTCCGTTACAACCATTAAAAAAAAAAAATCCCGTTCCTCGTTTTGTGGCCATGAATGTGTTATAAGGGTAACGGTCAAATATCAGTATTCGGTCAAACAAGAGAAGCTAAAAAATAGTTAGCTTCTAGATAGCTTGTGAATATCCAAAAGAAAACAAACTTGTGTAAACAAAATGCGAACGATAATGGATTCTTAATTAATTTAAAAACTATAAAAGTTATAATTACTTACAAATAAATATCTTTATCCAAAGCGAATGTCTGTACTACATGCCCTAAACGAAAACTTTCCAACTTCCCGATCTATGATCACAACGAAACTTTCAGGAAATATTGGGTATGTTCCTAGAAGCTTGCTAAAACCCATTACGTTATCATTTTCAATTTTATTTTACAATTGTAAGTTATTACATTTTTTTCCTTTGCTAAGTACTGCTTTAGAGCCACATTTTATAAATCGTTAATAATCTTCTGGAACAAACGAAAACGTTTCAAAATAAAGGAAAATATTAGAAAATATAGAACATAAAAACATATAACATACTTTACGGGAAATTCTACAGACTTAAAAGTTTTGTTGAAGTTACTCAAGGACTATCTGCGCTAGCCGTTCTGAATTTTAAAGTGATAGACTAGAGGGAGGCCAGCTGGTCAACACCACCCACCGTACTCATGTTCCGAAAGTGAGAAGTACGTTTTTTTTTTGTTTTTTGTTTGCAGTAACAGAGCGCGGACCATGGACCAACAGTTAGACACACAAGTTACTGAAGTCAGTTATCGTACACCTTTAAAGGCCGCGCACAGCATGTACTTGTGACAAAGAATACTTCAAAACAATGTTCAACATCATAATTAAAAAATTTATATTTTCTAGTGAATCAAAAACAGCTGGTAATTACGGACTGAGAAAATTAGCAAAGTTTTTCTTCTTGTTGAAACTAAGTATGGAGTTTTATAATGAATATTCATTCACGATGAAGGTTTAAATAGTTTTGAATAATCGTTTCTAGAGTTAATAAGAAAATTGAGTTTGTTCTTGTTGCAAATATGTTTTGTAGTTTTAAAAAATTATTACAAAGATTTTATTTTTTGATAATGGGCATACAAATTATAGTTGTGCATGGATTCAAAAGTAGAAACATTTTATTCAAATGAAATACGTTACTGAAAGCTGGTCTTCAAGTCCTTTTTGGAGAACAATGAAAAAGATCTTATTTTGTACAAAAAGAATGAACAAAAACTTTCACAACTGAGAACTACATAAGAATTCAGATCTAATACTTGGTAGCAATGTTAAGTTTCTGCTGGATATATGTCTAACAAACTGTGAAAAAAAATTATTTTCTCTGTAATCAAGGAAAAAAAATAACATTAAAAAAGGACTCAACAGAATTTTCAGGTCTTGGAATTAATATTAGAATAAACTTTGTTCCTGAACATACAACTGAAGTCCATTCTGAAAAATGTTTTATTTACTAACATTATTTATACAACAGTTCATAACTTGGTATTAAACTCAAAGTAATTCTGCAGATTTTTTTCAGTCTTTTTTTTTGGAAGGACCAAAAAACTGGTTATGTGAGAAGGAGATGAAAAAATCCTAAATATAAAACAAGAGAATACACTGTACAAGATTGTAATGCTTCTAATTAAGCCAAGTTTGATAGTGCAGCTAACTGTAAAGGTTATTTGTACAAGTTTTTTGAGTAAGACTGTATGACAGAATGCCCGTCTTACACATAAGGATGAAGTGCGAGTACAAAAATAGGTTTTAAAATTAAAATTAATGTTAAAGACTTCGTTGAAACTCAAGACACAACCTTAAGTTTAAACCTATAGACAAAAACATGCCATACATTTCAAACTGTATTTTTTTACGAATTTGAAAGCTTTACTTTACAGAAAGAATGGAAAAAAAATGTTTTACTCATAAAAACTACATGGACATTTAGAGTTTGATAGAAAAACTCAAATTCTGTGCTGAAAAACTGGAAGATTTTATTTTCTGTAAGATTGACAAATATTTCTTAAAAAGACTTAAAGTACAAGTTAGTTCATACTTTATTGGTTTCTGATGACGTACAAGTGAACAAGTTTGTTAACTTGTCAACAACACACTGTACCACATCAGGATGAACAAAAGAATTGAGAACATCTTTTAAGGGAACTTCTATGTTCGAGCTACTACACGAAAGGCCTTCTAAACCTTTTTTGTCTTTATTATTGGCACAGCACACATTTTGGAATTCAGTGAATGTGAGACTAGGCACCTTTGTTATCCAGGCATATTCTGAAGTAACATCTTGGTATGAACCAGTTGCTCCTGTTTCATGAAGTCTCCTTTTCTTTTCACAACTTCCATCCGAACCTACTTGCTGTGTCATATCAGACGTAAATATGTTCTTTTCTCTCTGGTTACAAAGATTATTCAAAACTATACGAATATAATGTAAAGTTTCTTCAGGTGAAACAAGTTCCTGAAAGTAAAAAAAACATAATTATAAATCAACATTTGCAAGAACATTTATGTAAATGAGGTATCTTTTTATTCTCTTCACTATAAAATTAGACACATGTTAGAGTTCATACACTTATCTAAATAAGAAATTAAAGGACTTTTCCAAAACATTTGAAGACTCAATAACCAGATTTTGAGGATCTGAGATAATTCTTTTGGCTAATACCAACTTTAGATGGACCAGTAAAAAATAATTAATAGTAAAAACTGTTCTAGTACCAGATATTATGAACTGCAGTTTATGTAAAGTGTTATTTTGATGGTAATTATAAATATGGTGAAAAGACATGCTTTTTAAACTTTTACAGCCTTCAAAATAGAATGACAAAGGTACCTGTAAATGCAATTACAAAAAATATTAATTACATTTTTATTAAATCTATTGCAATGATTAAAGTTTTTATGATAAGTGCATATTTTTATGACTTGTGATTTAATCTATGTTTACAGTCTGTAGAAAAGTCATGAATATTTGAGGAATTTAATTAGACTTTCATATAGTTTTATGGTAAAAATCCAAGCCCTTCGCATGTAAAAGCAGCAGCAAAAAAGATTTAGGCCAAAGGAACATTTTCTTAAAATGTTATACATTTATCTCCTACATAACATATTTAATTCCAATATAATAAAAAAGTTCTTTATCTTCAGTACAGTTGAGTTTGGCCACATGAAATTTCTGGATAGAATATAAAAGCATATTTTACTAGATTCATAATGCAGAATAAAATTGGCATGCCATTTTCAATTCTACCAAACTATTATTACTTTATTTAAATTGTTGATATCAATTTTTTAACAAACATTATCAAATTTGTGAATAAAATGGACTCACTTCAGTAGGATTTATCCATTCCATTTCATCAGGTTGATACACTGGGATCAAAGCTGTCATCAATGTCCGGACAACAGCTTCATTCAATCTTGATTCCTCATCACTGGGCTGTTATAAAAATAAATATCTCAATACTCTAAATGTATTTATACTAAAAAAATACCAAGCATAGAAATGTCCTATGATATAAATTTAAATACCATGTTACAAGTATTATACTGATACATTGTTATTTGTTCTTCCCAGATAAACTACTTTCAAAAAATAAAGAACTATGAAAAGATGTAAAAATGAATACAAGAAATACTAATAACATTGAATCTTCTAAAAGATCCCTTTTAACAGTATAACCAGTTCCTCGAAAACCAATAACCTACTTTGACAAGCACAGCCAATATTAGATGGGTCCTAATCAACACATTCACAGTTAATAACATAACAGGGATAAAAAAAATACATTGAAAAGTAAATACAAACTAAAATCAGAAATATATAGAACAAAGTTTAGATCAAAATTCATATTGAAATTCTCTCTGGAATTTCTTCCTCGTTATTAGCCACGGCGTAGCAGCTCACAGAATGGCTCCGAGTTTTTTAAGTACAAACTTTTAGCACATAGCTCCGTCATCTCTTGACTGATTTGAGATATAATTACAGTTTTGGACTCAAGTTGTCAAACCTTTTCAAGTGATGTATGTGACCCTGCCCAAGGCTTCTTAGATTAATTTACTCTAATCCTGCCTAAAAAATTTCAATTTGAGGGTAGGCAGGTAGAGATCCTGGTGAGTAATAAAATTGAATCAGATACTGGATATACACGTACATGCGCCCCCATGCTTGGTATTGCTGGTGCACAAAATATAGTTAATAAAAAGGAAAAAAAGGTCTTGTAAATTAATTTACTCTAATCCTGCGTAAAATAATTTCAAGTGCCACGTTTATTGAGGATTCCCTCTTGTTTCTATCTGTAATGGGTTTCAATTTACTCTCAAAAAAACCTTGTAAAATATATGTTTTTTCATTTGCAATTTACTAAATGTCAAGCATCAGTGCATGAAGATAAATACATTGACAAAACAATTAGAAACATCCGTTAATATTTTGGTTTCAAAAAACAAAATAGCTAGGATATTTATGAGAAACTTTTTATTTCCATAAATATTAATAATCAGCAAAAAATTAAACTTTGTTGTAATAAAAATTTAGTTTCTTTTTCAAAAACTGTATTTTCAAACAAAGTTTTAACAATTGCATCCAATCCACACTTTATCAATTTCCAAATATAAGATTATATTACATGTTCTAGCCATCGAGCATGTTCAAAAATTACCAGATTTTGTACGTCACAGGAGAACAAAAATAGCTTGTTATACCATACTAACATAATACTGGAAAAACAAACTAAAATTGAATATATTAAAAATCTGGCATTTAACTATAATTTGAAATACATAAAAGAATGTTATGTATTATTTCATCAACCCTAACTGCCTAAATCCCTTCAACATGGTCTAGAGGACTTTTACACACAAAAAGGAATAAAATTAAGTAAAAGATATGAAAATATAAAGGTCTAGTACACTGAATAACAGTATTGAAAATACTCAATAATCCAAAGCCTGTAATATATCACATGACATATGACACATTTCTGAAACAAGGCACAGTAGTTAGAGTAATCCAATCTCCAAGAACAGGATAGGTACATGACTTTAAGCTATTACAAAACTAAGTTTGATTATCACAATGTCTGCAACCTGAGTTAAGACTTTTGGCTGATCCTGTGAGCCTAAGTACACAGCACTGTTGCTGTAGACCTAATATTTAAGGACCACAGGAATGATTTTAAAAAAATTAATACTACCTCAATAAACATCAAAACTGCACAACTTTAGAGAACTCCTACATATAAAAAACAAACAAACCTGACTTGGCAAATACATAGACAGCATTACAATTTTGTCATATAAAAATTGAAACAAAAACATGACTAAATACACACAAACACACACAATAATTGGAAATGAGAATAATTAATCAAAACAACCACAAAAAGGTAGACAAGTTTAGATAAAAGTGAACAGAATACAAACTTTCTAGAATGAATATTAACTGATGTAAACAAGTAATATGAGAATGAAAAACAAAATAACTTTATAAGAATGCATAAACATCATTTAAAAGAGTAAAAGCATAAAAGATCTATATTCAACATGTGTATAAATAACCCACACATATCCTAAAAACAATTTTAGTAGTACAGAAAAACAACCTGTCAATTATATTCAGGTTCAATTAATGTAGTTGAGGAATGGCATTTAAAAGAAAACTAACTGGAATATAATTATGAATAATCAGTAAAGATCTGCAAGTCTCTGTGAAAGATCAGATAAGTATGAAGACCTAAACAAATGATTGGGAAGATACTATAATCATCTCTATAGTAGTTCCAAAAATGCATACAGGAAAGCAGATTAACATCATTAAGGAATCACTTATACTATTGAATATAATTATATCTTACTATAACACTATTAATTCATACCAGCTCGATCCATGTATTGACACTGATAGAGGGTTCTAGGCACTCTACAAAATGCCACCACAACTTTGGCACAAACAAAACTTCGCCAGGCTCTAATGTGATGATATAGGGATGAGCATTCTGCAATGATTAAATTATATACTGTATGTGAAATATATGAAACAATACGAAAACTGAACATAACACTGAAAGCATCATCAAAAGCTCTTGATGAACATCATGAGATAAAATCCTACTGAATTATTGTATATGGGTTTACATGTCTGAAATGGAAATCACAAAACACACATGTAGGGTTGATATCCTAACAAAACTTTTATTACAAATAAAAATTAGTTTTATGTCTTACTATATCAAATTATTTGTGTGTAAAATATTTCTAGTATTTTCCATTTTATAATGTTTTTATGGTAACCCAAGCCATATTTAAAAACTAGAAGTAATAATTGTATTACTACCATATACTTAAGATACATTAATTAAATTTTCTGTAGATCATACGTGTATATTTTCATATGTATACAATTCAAACGTATCTGTTTAAACTTTTCATCACAATTTTAATGAAAAAGTGGACAAACACAAAAAAGGATTTCATGATATCTTTAATATATATTTTTAAGTATCTTACAGTAGTACATCCAAAGAATTAGTACAAGTCCTATGTGGTCTGTTTTCTGTCATATCCACATGCACACTTAATAGCTTTACAAGTTACTATTCAGGAGGTGCAAAGATAGTTTCATTTAAGTCTAGTAACAAATAAATATACTTTTGAGCAAATACAGAACTTAGTCAGTTTTTGTTTCTAACTCCTCTAGATGACAGTGGAAACATTTACAGTATACTGTACATTATTCACACACAGTACATCCATGTGTATGTCTCACTCATAGCCCCCTTAGATGAGAATTAATCTTTTAGCTTTGATAAAGCTTAGAAATCAAAGCAACTTAAAAAATACAGTACTTTATGTGAATACACACAGAAAATATTTCAGTGATTCTGAAAATGAGAAAATTTGTTTACATTTTTGATTTTCAGTTACTTTTTAAGTTCATATGTTATGTTTGTCTCCAAACAAACCTCTATAACCAACATTTCGAGTGTAAATTTAGGCTGACATGTAATTTAAGTAACACCAATCACCCTCAATAATTTGTGACAAACCACTTGCCTCAAATCTTGACTAAAGATTTACTGTCCATTGACTAGATGTAATATTTTCCTCTGACTTTGTTGGTTATTAAACTGATCTCTATATTATTTTAACTAGTAGTAATACAAAGTTTATTATTTTTCATGAAAATAAATTTAAGAATTAATGAAAACAAATCAACAGTATAACGTGGATAATTCAACTATTGTATTTATCAATTAATATAAATTTATGACAAGAAGCTGCTCCAACCAGTAAAAACTGAAACATCTGAACACAAATTATAAATGAAAACATAAATGTTTATACTAAATAGCTTAAATCTCATAACATTATACATTTATATATATTTATTATATTGACCTTTCAGCTGTGCCTAGCTAAAAATACATAAGTTGCAAGATGTTGCACACATGCACTCATGTTACTGTATCCAATAACATAAAACTGATCTTTGATCTGTACAAAGTATCTTGTCTTGGCTGTGTTTTAGTAGACTAGTATATTGTAAAATACAGTCACATTTCAATTATTATACATAACATATGTATATAGATTATTGCTATTTCAAAATAAGTTCTTAAACTTATTTTTCGTAAAATATAGAACA